TGTCTGTCTGTCTGTCTGTCTGTCTGTCTGTCTGTCTGTCTGTCTGTCTCTCTCTCTCTCTCTCTCTCTGTCTGTCTCTGTCTCTGTCTCTCTCTCTCTCTATCATGTATCATCTATCTAGCAAAACCTTAGGTAGCAAAGGAAAATGGAATAATTTAACAATTGTAAAACACACCAACCCAAACTAAGGTCTTTTCATAAAAAATCTCAATGGACCCCACCCTTCCACATCCCTATCAGAGCATGAGAAACTAGTAGCCTACTTCCAATGCCAGTCTTCATAGCTTTCTAAAAAACCACTAAGCTTGGGGCTTTCTGTATCTCTGTGGGAGTCTTCTCCATAGGTTAGGTGCCATTAGAAAGAAAGCATATTTTTAGCACTCACCAGGTGAAAGTGTAGAGACAACTCTACCAGTTCTGTTGGGATGGGTAGAAACCATCAAGGAAAAGCAATCTTTCAAACAATGTTCCTCAAAGATGAAAATCAGCACCTTGAATGGCACTCCGAAGCCTGCTAGGAGATAATGCAGCTCCTATAGCAATGAAGTTCTGTGTGTATTATTGCCCAATACCACATCTGCTACTGCATCCTGGATCAGCTGAAGTGTCTGAATGTTTTTCAAGGGCACTCTCATGCAGAGCTCATTGCAGTAGCACAGTCAGGAAGTGACATAAGTAATTTGAGTAGTGCCTCCCAGTCTAGGAGTGGTTCAACTTATGCACAAGCTGTATTTGTGTAAAGGCTTTGGGGGCTACATTGCCACCTGCTACAGTGTATGCCTCAAATGAGAATGAATGATGGAAAATCATCAGATACGGAGAGCCCTAAAATCCACAGTTGCTCAGTCTTTTCAGGATTGGATTGAAGCAGGTTCCTCACCATACAGTGCCCAAAGAGTCTCCAAGCACTATAAAAACACTTTGACAGTATCACTTGGATGTTCCAGGGCAGAGAGGTACAATTAAGTGTCATCAATATACCAACAAAACTTAACCCCATGCCAATAGATAACTTATCCAGTAGTTTTATTTAGATATTAAATAGGGCGTGGGGAGAGTGTGGCGGCACCACACATAGCAGAAGTAAAGGGCTATACCTTCCTCCCCCATTAACACCATCTGGAAGGTGGCCACAGAAGAAGGAGGAGAGGCACTGAAGAACAATGCTACCAACTCCTAACCTCTTCAGTTGGCTCTGAAGGATACCATAAGCAATGGTATCAAAAATAACTCAGAGAACAAGAAGGGAGAGAATGGGTACCTATTTCTGCCCTGAGCATACTGTTGTATCTCTTACTGTTGTATCTTGGCTTGAACGCCAACTGCAATGGGTTCAGGTAATCTATTTTCTCCAGAACTCCTGGAAACTGCTGGTTGTCCTCTTCTCAACAGCCTTCCCTAAAAAGGTCCCCTCTCTTTGAGGACAGGGCTGACCATCATCTTCTTCAAGGCAGGCAGAACTACCCATTCTTGTAAATTAGTCATTTTCCATCATTTGAGCTCATTTATGTGTCATTCTAACTAGCCAGGAGAGACATGGGTTATACACATATGTAATGGAATTTACCATTTGAAGAACCCCATCCATTCCTCAGAAGTAATTGGGTCAAATTTAGACCAGATAAGACTGCCAGATGACTCCCAGATGAAGTCCAACCCAAAATGGATCTGAGTGACTTTAACTGTCAGATATTGAGCCTATTCCTCGCAAGAACCCTACAGGGGATTCTCCAATCTTTGTTTCTCCAGAAGGAAACAAGCCACCAAAGTCAGCGGCTGGGAATTTATTTGCAGATCTATTTAATACAAGCAGGGCAAAATAGTGCTTGGATTGAAAAGGAATGGCACTGAGGCAGTCATAGTGATTTGGCCTCTGCTCATAGTCTGGAAAATCGACTGTTAGCATGCCCATCCATTAAAATGTTCACAATGATCTTTTTATAGATTCTACATTAGAAAGATTATTTATTTAAACAGTGGGGGCCTTTTGGATGGCAGCTTCATGCTCCAACATGCTTAGCCTAAGGAGACACATCAAAACCTATCCTTATAATATTTTCAAAATATGTAAAAAATCTTTCTAATTCCTCTTCTAAAAACACATTTGTTTAATGAATATGTAAATACAACAACCCACATTTCTGTATTTTCCTGACTCAATTTCTATCTCATTGATAGCATTAGCATATCTATAATATTTGGTTTTATTGTTTGTGTGTGAATTTTGTTTCTAATATTGGCTTATGCTGATTTAGAAGCTTCAGTTCATTAAAAAAAAATCCTTCAAACTTTATATGGTATGAATTGAATGTTAGACTTAGAAGATATAATATAATTCTTTATCCTTGAATCATTGGCTCAGAAGTTGATATTCATCTTTGTCAATCAGCAAAAGATTGCTCTGCATGTCCTCATCCTTAATAACTACTGGATTTTGTCATAATTGCTCAAGAACAATTTCTTGGTATGTAAGTAGTCAGATATTGGTGATGGAAGAGATGGTGTGTGTCTGTGTGTATTATATATATATATTATATAAGAAAACATATGTATGTATGTATGTATGTATGTTTTCTTAAGTTTTCACAGGTATTTATATGTATGGTATTCAGCACAACTTTTAAAGCACAACTATAATGACATGGGAAAATACCCGAACAAAGCTGAATACCACACACACACACACACACACACACACGCGCACGCACACATATATCTTGGCGTGTTTGGGTCTTTTCCTGTGTAAGATTGAGAGTATCTTGGTGACGTTTCGACAAGGTCCTACTCACCATCTTCAGGCTGGTGCTTTCAGCTTCGTGCTTGTGCGAGCAAAGTGTGATCTGAGCTGTCGTCTCTCTATAAATACTGGTGGGGAGGTTGGTTGTGTTGTCATTTCTTGATTGGTTGATGGAGTTGATGTTTGCAGATTGGCTGGCTTTTTCATAAGAACATGTGTGGCTGAGGTATTGGCTGTGTGTCAATCAGCCTCCTGTGTTGTAACGACCTGGGTAATGGGCTGTGTGATGACCTTCTGAGTTCTATTGTTTTGACATCCTGGGTCTTGTGCTGTAATCTCCTGGGTTATAATGACCTGGGTCATGGGCTGTGTGATGACCTTCTGAGTTCTATTGTTGTGACATCCTGGGTCTTGTGATGTAATCTCCTGGGTCGTTGGCTGTGTTGTAACATCCTGAGGTTTTGTGGTGTAACCTCCCGAGTTCCGTGATATGATATCCTGAGCGGGTGGTTGTGATGTGATGTTCTGGGTTTTGGTTTGGCCCCGAGTTTGAGGCCTGGCTATGTGTTCATGGCATGTGTCTGTTTGCTTGGTTTGGGGGTTGGGGTGTGTAGCAGCCGGTGATGCAGCCATGGTCTGGTTTCTGGTCGGTGGTTGCCTTACGTCTATGGGGTGGGTTTGGGTTTGAGTCTGGTGAGGGAGATTGGTGGTGGCATCATGTGTTGTTTTGGGTCCAGTGTTGGTTTTCATGGCTGGGACTTGTTTGTTGATAAGGGCTAGTTTCCAGATGTCTGGTAGGCAGGGGGTATCATCCCATTTGTTCATGTTATGGGAGTGTTTCTCTATTTCGATGGCTTCCCTGATTATTCTCTTGTTGAAGTGTTCAGTATTGGAGATTCATTTGGTAAATTAATCACACAGCCCATTACCCAGGTCGCTACAACACAGGAGGCTGATAGACACACAGCCAATACTTCAGCCACACATGTTCTTACGAAAAAGCCAGCCAATCTGCAAACATCAACTCCATCAACCAATCAAGAAATGACAACATAGCCAACCTCCCCACCAGTATTTATAGAGAGATGGCAGCTCTGATCATGCTTTGCTCGCACAAGCACAAAGCCAGAAACACCAGCCTGAAGATGGCGAGTGCGACCTCGTCAAAACATCACCAAGATACTCTCAATCTTACACGGGAAAAGACCCGAACACGCCAAGACCTGCATACACACACACATACACACACACACACACACACAAATATACATATACATACACAGACACATACACATACACAGACACACACAGACACAGACACAGACACAGACACACACACATAATGTATTATTATACACACATGTGTGTGTTTGCGTGTGTGTATACACACACATTTCCAGGTATTAGGGGAAAAAGACATGGAGCCAAGATAGGAAATTTCACACTGACATTTCCTTGTCAAGGGGAATCGTCTGAAGTGAGAGGATATTTGACTGCATCCACATACTTACCATAATAACAAGATTTTCAGATACTGGAAACTGCATAACTAGGTTCCCATTCTCCTAGATATTGCAACTTGGTTAATTAGAATCATTCTTCAACCTTTCCAGTCAACATGGGAAAACAGAGGTCGGAGCAGGTACCCTTCATACCTTCCATCCCTGCCCCTCCACCTCAGTCTTCTCCTGAAATATGAAAATGTGTGGGTAATAGAAAGAACAATATGAATGCACTCTTCCAATGATTCCGATGGGGAGTTTAATTCACTTGATTCAATTTAATTTAATGAATAGAGAGAGCATCAGAAAGAATAAAATCATTCCTGAAATAAACTCATAAGTAAAAGCAGGAGGCTGGATCTGTGACCTTGGAGTGGAGATGCATCATGAAACTCAGATTGTTGTCTTTTCTAACAACCTGAAAAGCATGGTATGAAAGGGGTCAGTATGTGGGCACAATAAGTGCCATTGTTTAGAGAACTTAATAATAGTATCTGAGACAAATTGAATTCAGATACTATTGAGGATTGCAGGGGCGCTTAAAATAAGGCCATAATCTCCAATGTATTATGAGAGGCATTCCAGTTTAGAGGTCTTATTGTGATTGAAAATATTTTCTTTATCATTCCTACTTAACAAACCAAAAGTACACAACCTGTAACCTTTCTATGTTCAGACTCCTCTGCAATTCTTTAGCAAGGAGTCTAGCAAGCACTACAGTTGTGCATGCCACTAAAATATATTTTCTTGCATTTATCTCTAACCCTTTGATTCTTAATTTAAGTGAACATCTTTGCCACAACACTGATTACTTGTAGATTATTCATAGCTTATTTTAAGCTCGGGTCAGAATCAGGGAAGGGTGGTTACCTAATTCATGAACGTTAATGAGTAATCATGTTGAATAAGCCTCTTTCTGAAAAGTGGGATTATGGCAAGTGCCCATCACTCTCCAGGATGACAAAGCAACAAGTTGAAATAATTGTGATAAATACAGAGGCCACATTGTGGCCAGCAGATCAAATAAAGGGGGAAAAAAAGACTCAGGACCTGGTGACTTCACAGCAGCTGTGAATTCCTCTCACAAAGACAAAATGAGAATTAATGGGTAATTGCCATCTCTCAGGAAGTTACTTTCTCATTCTGCTTTCTTGGTTTCCAAGTCAGGACTTTACCCATTAAGAAATATCCTCCTAATCTTAACAAAACAAACAAGCAGGCTTCCGAGACAAGAATTATATCTGCAGTATATTTCAGGCACATAAAGTTAAAAACATTGGCTAACTGAAGCTCTTTTGACAAGATCTAGCAGACATGTAAATTTAAATGATATTTTAAAGAGATTCAAATGAACATAATTAGGTTGGTATATGTCAACAACATAACAAATGTTAATTGATGTGGCTAAAATGGGCATTAAAAATTAGTTTGGAGGGCAAAAGAAGAAGTTAAAACTCACAAGGCCACCGAATTGGAACTGGAACTAAATTCTAATTGTCAGCTCTTCAGGAGGCTAGGCCAGAAGTCAGAACCTGCAAGGATTATAGGAACTTTATTGTTGTAGAATAAACAGAATATTAAAAGCCTGTCAGAGATTTCCTCCATCCCTTCTTATATCAAACAGGATGAAGGCAGAATTATTTTGAATTTCTTTCTTATCCCATCTTTTTTGCAAGGACTAAGTTGAAAATTATTTAAGAGGTGGCGCAATGGTTGAAAATAATTTAAGAGGTGGCGCATGGTGGTGCAATGGTTAGAATGCAGTACTGCAGGGCTAATTCACTGTTCACTGAAGGAGTTCGATTCTGAGTGGCTCAAAGTTGACTTCCATCTTTCTGAGGTCAGTAAAATGAAGACCCAGATTGTTGGGACAATATGCTGACCCTATAAACTGCTCAGAGAGGGCTGTAAAGCACTGTGAAGCAGTATATAAGTCTAAGTGCTATTGCTATTTCTTGCAATAGCACTTGTTTCAAATTATCTCTTTACTCCTCTATGCTCATCCAGACACATAATGACTTAAGATTTTGCAAGTTTTGAATCTAACAGATTAGTCCATGTGCCATATATTGATATTTATTCCACAGAAAAAATGTTGGATGTGAAAGGATTATGTATCTTTTTGTTTAGTTGCCGAATCAACCGTATCCTGGAATCTCCCAGAGGGAATGCTCTGCTAGTGGGTGTTGGTGGAAGTGGCAAGCAGAGCCTGACAAGATTGGCAGCTTTCATTAGCTCTCTGGAGATTTTCCAAATCACCTTGAGGAAAGGCTATGGGATTCCTGATCTGAAGGTGAGAAGCTTAGAACCAAGAAGAGATTAACTATAGGCTCTATGCTAATTAGGGTTTGAAATGTGGCAGGTAGTTCTTTGAATTATACTTGGAAGCCAACTGGAACCAGTGCATTCACAGAGTTTGGGCATTACCTGAGCAAGGTGTGATTAACCTATCACTGATTGTGGCACTACATTCTATACATTCTAAATCTGAATAGATTTCAAGGGAAGCTGCATGTAGAATGCATTGCAGTAGTCCAACTATGAGATGACTAAATGTGAAGGGCCTTCTAGTTCGGAAAAGATACAATAGCACACAAGATGATTCTGTGTAAAAGCCCTCCTCACCTGTTCTCACCTGTTGCCTTTAAGCAGGACCCCTGATTCCAGGAGCAAACCCAGATTGTTCAAATGGGAAAGTGCCTGCCCAATCAGGGCCAAAGATAGAAAGTCCTCAGTACTAGGAGGCTTAAATACACACAACCATTCAGTCTTGCTAAAAGTGAGTCTGAGCTTGTTCCTACACCCTCAAATCTCATTGCTTCCAGGTATTGGGACATGAGGTCAACCATATAGCTCACCCAATTCCAGGGATGAGATGCATAGTTGAGTACTATTACCACACTGTTGATGCTTGATTATGAATTGATGGATGATCTCTCTCTGTGACTTTATGTAAATGTTAAATTAATAAATACTGTAACATAACTATAAACCATAATCATAAGCAAAATTGCTTGGACTTGCTATAATGAATGCCATGATAGAGTAGTCACTATAATGCATTGGTATTTGTAGAAAAATTATGATTTCTGAGTTTTCACAATGTGGTATAATCACAACACTGAAACAGTTGTTGAAAATGATGACATTAACATTTTATGTCATGTTCATATAACAACTACTTGCCACCTGGAATGCAACACAGCAGGTATAAGAATAATCAAAAGAAAACAAAAGAGTAATTTTTGTGGATGTGGCAATACCCAGGGCCAACAGAACTGAGCAAAAAGAATTGTAAAAAGTTACAAAATCTAAAGAGTGAACAATCAAAATAAATTATGGAAAAGATCTTGCACAGTCATCCCTATAGTTAATAGTGCATTAGGCAGCATAACAAACACATACATTTTTACAGGAACTAAATATTTTCACCTATATTAACTGCAGATTTACAAAAAAGCACCTTGCACATGTTACATCTTAATACCACTTTAATAATTCCTAGTTTCCTAGCTTGGACTTGAATTTCCAAAGAACATTAGTCAAAAACGTGATTATTATTCCTCCTGCTCCTGCTCCTTCCTCTTTGTCCTGCTCCTCTTTCTCCTCCTCCTCCCCCCGCATTCAGGAACATATATGGCTATGTTACCTCAGAGTATATGTAGTGGTTGTTTACTCGAAAGTTATTCTGGGTCAGAATCTGTAAATGATACACTAAACATGTTGAGCAATAATGCTCAGCTGGAACTTTCCCAGGAAGGATATTTTCATATGAGAGTGTCTCTTTCCCCTTTGTTTTGTGAAGTGATCTAGGATCATGGTGGTGTTTAATTCAGAATATCTGATTCTGCTCTAAGTTGCCCTCAGAAGGATAGCAGAACAAATAGCAAGGGAACTTGAATTTAGCACCTTTTTCATTAAAAACCAAGGTTATGAAGATGTGTTTAAGAAACATATGAATGTTCCAGGAGAGAGAGAGAGAGAAAAAGTTACAGTAGTAGAGATTGGCCTCCTAATGAAAAGAACTTTATGCAGATTCTTTAATGAGAGTTACAGTATGCTGTTATACAGACTGTGTTTATGTATTTCCTTCAAATATAATTGTTATGTGAATAACAATGAACCCCAGTGTGATCAGCAGTGTGATTTTAACGGTGTGGACTTGACTCTGAGAAGCCAATGAACTTTGAATTTAATAGTACCCAAGATGACTCGAGTCTCCTCTTACAGCTGTTGCCTAAAAATTGGAGTCTGAAATATTCATGTACTTACAGGCTGACTTAGCAGCACAATGTATCACGGCAGGAATGAAGAATGTGGGCACTGTCTTTCTTCTGACTGATACTCAGCTGGCTGATGAGAGATTCTTAGTTCTGGTTAATGACTTGCTAGCTTCAGGTATGTATTCATAGTAATTTAAATTTCATTTATAGGAAATAGGAAACTAGAATTGTGAAAAACTTGCCCCAGAATATCGGAGTTCATACAACATGCTGGCTAGACTGAAATGGGGTTGATTGGGTTATGGCTCAGTATGTTGTGGGAACCTGGCCTTTGGATTACCACACTGTGTGCACCAGACATTATGCTGAGGATATAATTGAGGATAGGACACAACATCTTGTGTGACTATACTATGAAGCTAGCAAGATGTATACAATGAATTTACATGTCATTCCAGCTTCTCTTCCAGCACCATTATTTGCCATGTAGCAATTTCCATTGCCCTTTCTCTGTTTATAGGCATATGCATTTCTACTTAGAATTCTAAATTTGGGGTGGTCCATTTAGAGTATCAGTTCCAACTTCCTGCTCAGTACAGAATCCAAATTGAAGCACCATAGACATGTGGGTGGCTAGACTTGCTTGAATATCTGCTTCTCTGGTAATAAGTTCCAATATCAAGCTGCTCTTCAAAAATCTGGAATCTGACTTGCTACAATTTAATTCCATTAACCTGTGGCGCAATGAAGTATAGTTCCTGATCTTCCACATGACAGCTTTTCATGTATTTGAAAAGTGGTATCATATATTTGTTCACTGTTTTCTTGTAAAGGCTAAACGTTCCCAGCTACTTCAGTCTCTCTTCATAAAACTTAATTTCTAAGGATTGTGCTTCTTTAAACCAATTCCAGTTTGTCTAAATTCTTCTTCAAATGTGGTGCTAAAACGTGAGGTGGGTTAACTAATACTAAAATAAAATAATTCTTTACTTCTTAATTTTTATAGGCCACCAACTTTATATTTATAGGCCACCAACTCCATTTAGTGTCTTGTAACATGTAACAAAATTGAAAACTTCTACATCTAAACAATAAAACTTCTATCATGTGATCTAAAACAATAGGCATCAACATTAAGCCATCCGTGACAATAAGCTAATAAATAGCAATCAACAACAATTCAAATAAATCATAATAACTATATCACCACATCTATAACAGTAGCATATTAAAAAATAAGGCAACATTCAACCTCCAAAGACCATCAGGAATAATTCAGTGTTTAATGCTTTCTAGAACAGGGGTCGTCAACCTTTTGAACCTCAGGGACCACCAAACTCATAATTTTAAATCCCAGGGACCACTAACCGGTTCTTGGGCATGGCCTAATTTGTGGGTGTGGCTTGGTGGTCATGTGACTGGCTGGGCATGGCTTGTATGTAAATATTGTAAATATTTATATTTATAAATATTGAATTTTTTATTAAAAAAGAGCAACTTTTACCCAAAATCAGGCAAAGCAGGCAGGCAGATTGAGTTGCTCACAGAAGCACAGATTCATTCAGAGATCTATCTATCTGCCATCGGCTAGCTCAGTCAGTCACATAAAATTTGCTTGCCAGCAAACTCACAAAATTAACTCACAACACACCATGTATGTAAATATTGAATTTTTTATAAAAAAAGAGCAACTTTTACCCAAAATCAGGCAAAGCAGGCAGGCACACTGAATGGCTCACAGAATCATTCAGTGATCAATCGATCTGCCATTGGCTAGCTCAGTCTCTCAAATTTTCTTGCTGTGAGTCAGCACTGAATAATAGAACCTTCAGTCCTAAGGGAGGTTCGGCTGTGCTTAAAAGCAGAGCCGAAGATCTAAAGACTAGCTAGAAAGCAAGAAATCCAACCATTTCCTGCTTCCTAGCTAATCTAAATCTCCCGGCACAGCAGAACAGATGATGGTCGGAAAAAGGAAAAAATTTAACAGCTTAGCAGGCAAGTTTACTGGGTAAGGAGTGAGTGGGCGGGGAGGGTTCCCGTGGGCCATGTCAGCTGCGCAGATTTGTGTTTCTGCGCAGCCTAGATTAATTGCTTTTGGGGGGGGGGGGTGCTCTGGGGGTGAGATTTCTCTGTGGCCCACCAAAATTTTCTCACGGCCCACCAGTGGGCCACAGCCCACCAGTTGGCGACCGCTGTTCTAGAAAACCATACAATTAGGGGCCAATCTGATACCCGAAGGGATGCTGTTCTATAATATAGATTCTACACAAGAAAGGCCACTAGATTGAATTCTCTTCTACTGTAGCAACTAACTCAAACTGCTCACTCAGAAAGGAATAGAGCAGGGTTGTCAAACTCAAGGCCCGTGAGCTGGGTCTGGCCCATGGGGTGCTTAGATCTGGCCAGTGGGGCTGCCCTGGAAACAGTAAAGGACTGGCCCATTGTGCCTCTGCCAGCAAAAACGAAGCTCATGAGGGCTGCGGGTGGTGTTCCTGAGCTCTGTTTTTGCTGGTAGAGGTTTGCCAGAGGAGGTCGTTGCAGCCAAAAATGGAGCTCAGGAGGGCCAAGGGTGGCTCTCCTGAACTCCATTTTTGCTGGTAGAGGGTTGCAGAAAGCTGTCACAGCTGAATATGGAGCTTGGGAGCCCATTTTTGCTGATAGAGCACTTAGGACACCACAGGCACCCCCCAACATAAGTGACATAGAGCTGGCCATGTCCATCCTGGTCCCCCAAAGTCAAACACAATCCTGATGTGGCCCTCAATAAAATCGAGTTTGACACCCCCTGGAATAGAGCCATTGAAAATTTTTCCCAGTCTCCAATCCTTGTAAGCAATCATGACTGATGATATCAAATGCCACTGAGAGATTCAGGTGAGTGGAAACACGCGCTACCTCCATCTAAATGTGGAGAAAAGTAATTTGTGTGATCAATAATGTTTCTGTTTCACATTAAGCCTTAATATTGACGGAAAAGGATTCAGTCAATCCATTTCTTCTGTGGGCCTTTGTAATCACCAAGCTACTATCATCTATACCACCATCTCAAGATAGGGAAAGTTGAATACCAGATGATAGTTGTCATAATTGATAGGGAGGGCCTTGCGAAAGGGCCTATCTCCCAGATCCAACAAGACACATTCTCATCTATGCCTCCTAAAGAAACCAGGTAGAAGGCAGAAAACCTGCCAGGTAGCACCTATTCACTTCATTGGAGTCCACAGGCCAAAAAGAGTCCCAACTAACACTGCAGGATTGCCGGGTAAGGAGTGAATGGGCGGGGAGGGTTGCAGGATTGTCCCAGTCACAAGTGCAGAAAGAGGAATCAGGAAAGGGAAATCTGTGATACGTTATTAACAAAGCAGTCACAGTACAACTTCTAGGCTGGAAGATGCCCTTCAACCACATATAGTGGTAGCTGTTACTGAACAATATTGTTTTGTTCTGTTTCTGCCTTAGTTATAAGGCAAATTACTGTAACTAGAGGCCAGCAATGATATTCTTCAGCAATATTTCCATTATGTGATAGAGATGTAACATTTTTTTTCATTCCTTAATTCCTTTGTCTTCTCTGCTCTTATATTTCTTCAGTTATCAGGTGAGCCCTTGGAAATAAACAAAATGTATTTGTTTGCTTCTCTCTTTTCCTTTGTCCTCAGCAAGATAGGGAATGCTGCAGGTATGGAATTTTATGGTGAATCAGATGTTGTCTTGTGTTCCTAGGAGAAATTCCTGATCTTTTTCCTGATGAAGAAATAGAAAATATCATAAGTAATATGAGGAATGAAGTAAAAACTCATGGTCTGATGGACACGAGGGAGGCCTGCTGGAAATTCTTTATTGATCGGGTTAGACGACAACTCAAGGTAGACCCTGCTCTTTTTTTGTTGTGTGATGTTTCTGAAGATGATCTTTATAATATTTATCTCCAATCGATGAAGTGTTGCTGCTCCAATCAATGCTGTATTTTTTTTTGCGGGGGGTGGGGGGAGAAATATCTGTATCTTGGATAACGCAAGAATAATAACCTCACTTTTATGCAAGAAAAATAATAGAGATTAGGCTGAGATGCTGTCCCTTACTGTTTCTGGGTTGCTCTTTTGTTGGAAAGATGACTTCAGTGGCACCTACTGTTCTGCACAAGTTTCTGACCATAGCAATGGCACTTAGACTTAGATACCGCTTCAGAGTGCTTTACAACACTCTTTAGGGAATTTACAATCTGAGTCCTCATTTTACTGACCTTGGAAGGATGGAAAGCTTAGTGACCTTGAGCTGGTCAGGATTGAACTCCTGACAGTGGGCAAAGTTAGCCGGCAATACTGCATTTCAACTGCTGCGGGACCACAATTAGAAGGGCAATCTAAAGAAGCATGTAGATAGTGAGGGATTTCTCTGTGTTCCCACTTTGTGTACCATTCTTTGTCTATAAGAAATTAATCCCAGTATTGCTTCTCTCTGACTTGGTCCCCAAATATGCAAGCATGGAGCTCTAGTTCTCTGACTTTCCTCCAGGTGGGATGTAGTTAGTTAGGTCCTAAGCTTTGCCAATCTCTATTTTGTGTATCCTTAAAAAAAATCACTTTTCTGTTACAGTTGTAAAACCCTACTTTACTAATAATTGCTCAGGGAATAGTCTCACTCTCAAGAATGCTCAGGTGCACAAGCAAACGCTTTCCTTTCAACAATTTTGAGCCATGCGTCTTTGACAAACCTTAGAATAGCTGGAAAGTTTTGAAAGTCACAAAGCAAAAACCTTCTTCCATCATAATTCTGCTCACGTTGTTTTCCTCATTGCTTGTTCTACTTGTCCCAGGTGGCACTTTGCTTTTCTCCAGTGGGGAACAAACTGAGAGTTCGCAGCCGGAAGTTCCCAGCCATTGTGAACTGTACAGTGATCGACTGGTTCCATGAGTGGCCTCAGGAAGCTCTGGAATCAGTCAGCCTGCGCTTCTTGCAAGGGACAGAAGGTATTGAGGTAAGTGAATATTAGGAGCACATCAAATGCTTTCTCTTGACTGTGAGGCTGAACAGCTGTTTATTTTGTAAGGCAAATCTGGTGCTTCAGGCACATTATGGCTGCAGGCAAAGAAGATAATCTACCTCACCCCACCTTTACATAAGTAGGTGTACGATGTAGGGGTTCAGGTGTTAGACTAGCACTGTGGAGACCAAGGCTCAACTCCAACCTCAACTGTGGAAGCTCTCTGGGTAACTTTGGTCTGGTCTCTCACTTACACCCTGAGTCACGGGTTTGTTGTTTTGGGAAAAAATAAATAAAAGAGGAAGGACAATGTAATCTGCTTTGAGTTCCTAAAGGAAAAGTGGGGTACTAATTGGACAAACACTACCTGCATAAAATTGGTATTTTGAAGTTACTAATAATTTGGTGCAGTCTAATCAAATTTCACACATCATATCAAAATCAGGAAATTCTGATAAGGAGTTTCATGTCTTTTCTGGAATATTATGTATTTCAGTTTGGTAATCAGTGCTTTATGTAAGACATATCCAGGAAACTTAGTCAGACTGCCTTGTTATTCACTTTGAAATAGTTTCTCTTTTAACATTGTTCTTGTCATTGTCATCATCTTCATTATCATCATCGTGAACAAGCCTCCTGTGAAAGAATCTATCAGCAAGTTCATGGCTTATGTTCATACCAGTGTTAATGAGATGTCTTATTCTTACCTGACTAATGAACGTCGTTATAATTACACCACCCCCAAGTCGTTCTTGGAGCAAATCAAACTGTATCAGAATTTGCTGCTTAAAAAGAGAAAAGAACTAACAGCAAAGATGGAGCGACTAGAAAATGGTCTACAGAAGCTCAGCAGCACATCAGCACAGGTGAGAAAGCTCCTGTTTTAGCTGGAAGGCTGGAGATGTATGCAAACATTCTGAAATGAAGTAAAAGATGATCTATGCAATGCTAGTGGAGAGATACTTGCATTCAGCTGTATGAACTCTTGTTGGATTTCATGGTATTGTCACATGAGTTGTGGTGAGATGTTAATAAGCAGGTAACCTTTTAGACTGGAGAGACAATACATTTAGAAAGCCATTTTATTTCCTGCCATTTTCAGTCTTGATTTTCCTTTTTCTGCTCAACAGGAACTGGAGATGTGTTGCTTTGTTTCTGGAAAAAGAGAGATACTGGCTTGATTGACACATCTTACTTGGCCTCAACATTTTGTTTTGCTTAATTTTTATTTACATTCCTTGACCTACAGTGATTTGCTTAGCAATGCTCTCTCTCTCTCTCTCTCTCTCTCTCTCTCTCTCTCTCTCTCTCTCTCACACACACACACACACACACACACTGTAGTATCACCTTTGACACCAATGGAGGCCCTTGCTTTTTTTTTTCTTATGGTATGTTGAAGCTTTAGTGCCCCAATAATCAGTGAGGAAACAGGTTGCTCTTTTGTTCCTACATTTCTTTGTATGACTTTGTAGAAGAAAGGACTGATTTTTGGGGGGGGGGGGGTGTATTATATTGTATAAGAATAGTGGAGCAATATTTCAGCTTAAAGATGGCTTTAAAAGTAAAGAAAGTTTTGCAGTATTGTGGGCAGGGAGTGAAAAAGCAAGAGGAGTAAGCTTCGTCCAGCTGAGCAGAAATCAATGGGGTGGTGCCTATTGGGAGTTGAAAGGATTGATTGGAGCATGAATTTCTAGAACCAAAAGGGGACTTAAGAGGCCATCATTGCATCAATTACAAGATTGAAATCAAACAATCATTTGGCAGGGCATCAGTTGGACCTGGGGCTGCCACCAGAATAGAACTAATCAGCAGAGACCATCCACTTTGAGGGTCTGAAGCCTGCTCAGGTCAGAAAATACAGTTCTGATTCAAAGCTGGAAATCATATGCACTGGGTGCATTTCAGTAGGATGAGTGGGAAGATTGTCCACTTTTGCATTCAGGAAGCAATGAGTGGCCTAAATTGGAAAAAGACCAAGCAGAAAGTATGTATCTGCCCAGAATCTGAATGTCCATCAAGGGCTTATACCGGCCTGATGTCTCATTTTTTTCAACATAGACCACCCAGTCCTTGAATGGATGGGTGGACTGGACATTAACATTTGAAGAACTATAAGTCCATGTATTTGCCATATGCTAAATAAATAAATAAATAAATGCCCAGAGTAAGCCCTTAAGTGTCTGTCCAAAGATTACTTCTCCCTATGTTCAATAGGTCATGAGATTTTAAGTCAGTTCCATTGAATTTAGGCCCCACAACATGAACAGCCAGAAATCCCCAAGCCAATTTTATATTATGGATAGTTGCTTCCTGACCTGGTATATTGAAATCTCTGATCAAGGGAGTGTTGTAAAGACACACCACCCACAAAAATCTACAAGAAGTGTGAAGTGCTATTGCAGCTCTATCACCTTTCACTCTTTTCTCAAAGTGGATCTTCAGGACAATCATTTCCAAACTAAAACCCATATGGCTTTTAAAAGCACTCCTATAATTTGATGCAAATGTTTCTTTCATATTCTTATAGATAGGTTAACAAGAATTAAAGTAGTTTAAATTTGAAGAAGAATGCTGGTATTATATTATGAAGGAAGAACTGAAGATTCCCCCCCCGCAAAATAGGGCAAATTTTGAAGCACTTTCAGGGCAGTTTATAAGTTGTAGTTTGTCTGAAAGCACCACTAGGCTTCCCTGATTTGATTCTTTTCTGGTTTCTTGCAGAACATAATTGTGGAGAATGATCTCCATTGATTGAGATACTGCTTTACTTTGGAAGCAGCCAGCTTCTGATTTACAACTTTGAATCACTACTCAATTTGCTGCTTAGCTGTTCTAGCTTTAAAATATATATATTTTATAAAAAATAAAATTTGGAAAAACTTTTGGACAGTCAGAATAGTCCTGAGTCTTTTGGGTTCTTTTTTGGGGAATAACCTTTGCTTCTTTTCCTTCTCCCTTGCTGCAACTATCTCCTTATTTCCAGAAATGTTTGAGGTTTCATTCCTCCTTCTTCCTGTGAAGATGAGACATGCTGGGAAAGAGAATTCTTTGGGCAATCACTTTATTTTTCAGCATGTTTCCTGCTGTGAAAGGGAGGTTGCCTTACCACTATGTGTGGCAACTTGTTGGCACTGCTTTTCTTTAAAAAAAAAATTGCACGGTGGGCTCTTCACTCTCCTGCTATACCAATTAACTGCCAAGCTTTCTGATGTAGTATATTACATCCTGACTTTTGGCACAGACAATTGGAATTAAAAGGCACGCTGGCATTCTCCTTCAAGCTCTTTATTTAGAATATGGGTTTTCTTTCTATACACACAGAATCACAAGGCTTGCTTAAATGCAGCATGCTTTTTCTTCTCCTTTCCACCTAAGATTTCTTAAAGCAGACAGATCTTCCCCTTTCTTTAACAAAGCAAACTGTACACATTAATTAGTTACAATTTGATGATTATTGCGGATAATCTCTGTTGAGTCAAGTGAAATGATTTGCTTTGGTTCTCCCAGTTCTGCCTATAGAGAGGGAGCTAGCAAGAGGAATATTTCTGGGTTTGTATGTTATGTCTGCATATTTTTTTTTAAAAAAAAAATTGGCTTGTGTTGCTTTGGTTACTAGTTAGCCTCTTTGTGTGTACAGGTTTTGTTAAACCCTGGAGAAAAATCAACTTGTGAACAGGGATGACAAAGTTGAGCCGTTAACCAAATTAACACAAAACCATAACATAAGCAAAGCCAAGCACCTGCCTTTTACTTACTGACTACTTTCCTTAACATTTCCTAAACCTGAGCAGCTAATAGTCAATCTCCCTTGATGGCATTCTTCACCTTGTGTGTTGCTATCTCAGTGCAGTGAATTGCTCTGTGTCGGAGAACCATTGGGCTGATCAGTCTGAGTCTGAGCGGCTTTGTTTCTACTGAAGCTGTTAGGTATGGAGAATAACGGAGACCAGACATCTGACCAGTGACTTCAACTCTTTAATAAAGTGATAGAACATAACAGAGCAATGCTATGGGCAGCAGTAACCCTTTTATAGGGTTAGCTGCTGCCTTATTAACCAATGAAAATGTGCAACAAGTTCAAACTACTGACCAATAAGGACAGTCCCAAAAGTGGCCAATCAGGGACTGGTTCTGGCCCAATCCCAAGTTGTTGTATAAGGACCAATCAAGTGTGCAGGTTTTCAACCCCTAATTTGCATTTAGGTTATTCACTTTTATTGATTCACAACACCCTCCCCCTTGGGTTCCGTTTGAGGGGAGCTGTGATAAAATCCTCAAGATAGGCAGGCCGTTTGGTCTGCCTGGATGATTTCCGAGGCTCCACCGGGTTTTGTCTAATGTCCGGTTCCGGTGGAGCGTTTGGATGACCTTTGTTAAATTCGATTTCGCTGCACGGCGATTCCGTGCTGCATTCACTGTGGTTGTCTCTGCTACTGCGTGTTTCTTCGGGGTTTTGCAGTTCGTTTTCCCCCGTATTAAAGTTCCCTGAAGATGTCAACTCCCTCCCCGCTTCACGTTCCGGTGCTTCGCTGGGCTGTAGGGCTCCCGTTGACCTGCTATTAGTTGTATCAAAGTCAATTCCCTCGATACTCCCTCCCCCTTGAGTTGGTGAACCGGGGAAGTCATGGCCGCTGGGTGGTAATCTCGATCGGAGCTGGTCTATGTGGCGTTTCCACACCCTCCCATCGTCTGTTAGCAGGCGGTAAGATCTAGGCCCGGTGAGGTGGGTAACGGTTGCGGGTATCCATAACGGGTCGCCGGAAAAGTTTTTTGCAAAGATTAAATCGCCTACCTTAAATTCCCGGCATTTGCTGCTGGAGCCGAAAGGTTTTTCCGGTGCGAAAGCGGGGTGGAGCCGGTCAAGGTGCGATCGTATTTTCCGCCCCATAAGAAGTTCAGCGGGTGTTTTGTTGGTCACGCTGTGGGGCGTGATGTGCTGCAATAAGAGAATTCGATTGATTTTCTCGTTGATGTTGCCAAATTCCATTTTGTGCAGGGTCTTTTTCACAAATTCTACCATGCGTTCTGCACGTCCATTCGCCGCAGGGTGCGCGGGCGAGGTTAGCGCATGGCGGATGCCCCGATCAGCAAGATATTGTTCAAAGGGCAATGCAGTGAACTGTGGGCCGTTGTCCGAGACCAACACGTCCGGAAACCCGTGTGTGGCAAATAGTCTGTTTAATTTATTAATAACTGAGTCAGTTGTAGTTGTGCGCATTCGATGAATCTCGAGCCAGTTAGAATAGGCGTCAACAGTAATCAGGAAAGTGTGACCTTTGGTAGGCCCCGCAAAGTCAATATGAATACGGGACCACGGTCCCCTCGGCGTTTCCCATTCGGTTGGGCTTGCTTTAGGTGGGGCGTTGCTGACGTTCTGGCAACGTTGGCACGTAGCGACCCAGGCCTCGATTCTTTTGTCGATTCCCGGCCACCAAGCATAGCTGCGTGCGAGTGATTTCATCCGCACAATGCCCGGATGTCCCTCATGCAATACCGCCAACACAGTCTGTTGCAATTTGCCAGGGATTACGACTCGATCGCCCCACAAGATACAGCCTTTTTGGGAAAACAGCTCGGTTTGGCGGGCTTTGAAGGGCGCCCATTCAGGTGCAATTTGGTCCGTCGGCCACCCCCGTCCAACCCAGCGTAGTATGTGTTGCAGAACTGGGTCACGTTTCGTTTCAAGAGCAATGTCTCTAGCCGTCAAGGGTGGTGCCTGTAGAGCTTCAATCTGTAGTGTTGAGAGGGTTGGGGCTGGATCCACAACAGCGTCTGGGAGCGGTGTTCTGCTCAATGCATCGGCGTGGAGAATCGATTTCCCCGGGCGGTGTTGCAAGGTGTAGTTGTAGGCCGCCAGGAATTC